GCAGACAAAAACATACTGGGGAAAGGACACCCTATTCAATAAATTGTGCTGGGCAGGTTGGGTAGCCACATGCAGAAGAATGAAACTGAATCCCTATCTCTCTCCATACACAGAAACTAACTTAAGATGGATTAGACTTAAATGTAAGATCTGAAAACATTGCCGTTGCTACAGTCTAGACCAGAAACAAGGAAAACCTCCTAAGCAAAGGCAATCCCAGTGCGGATAGAGAGGGGGCCAGTGCAGCAGGCATTGTGACCACTGGAAGTTGAGGGAAACTTAAGAGCCCACGAAGGCTGACTTCTGAGTCACTTAACTGTTAGAGACTACAGAAAAAGGAAAAGGAGCACATCTTGGTGAATATAATTTGGAACTTATTCCATTTGAGGTGCCTAAGGAGTATCCAAGTGGCAATTAGCTATGTGGGCCTATGCATCTAGTACGAAAGGGAGAGACAGAGGTGTGCATGGCTGCTGCCTGTTAGTCTTAAGATCACATCATATCTGCAGGTTCCAGTAAAAGCCTGTCTGGTAAAGTGTTTTCAATAATGAATCAATACAAATGTGAAAATGCCCTTTTATTTTGGCCTTGTGGCTTATTTCCAAATAATTTGCTTTGTGCTCCATTTGGGGAACCTGTGGTCTTCTGGATCAAAGAGGGTGGCCTTTTGACCAAATTCAAATTTTATAGAACAGATCCTTTTAATAAAGGGATTTGTTCTGTGAAGTTTGGATTCAGTCAAGGGGCTGCATTTGGGGGATCTGAAGGGCCACATGTGGCCTTGAGGTCGTCTAAGTATTTGGAGGATCATTCACAGTAGCTCTAATTTCAGACTCCTGTGTTTGGCACTGATTGGTGGTCCATCTCTTCCATCTGACTAAGATGACACAAGCTACTCCAAAAGTTATGCCAAGGAGGGTTCTGAGATGTAATTTCTATTCTGAGAGTGAGATGAGCCTGTTTGGATGGGGTAAGAAAATGAAAGAAATCCTAAAATGCACAGCAAATTGATCTCCCTATACCCTAGTTATCAAACTTATAGAAACTCTTGATTTTGCAGTTTTGAATAGTGCAATGTATTTTTTTTAAAGCAATAATAAAATCCAGAAGTCCCTTTAAGGAGAGGCCAGATATGCAAGAGAGGGAAACAGTGTGCCATGCCTATGAAGCTCACAATTATACTTGGCTTTGCCTGGTGTTGAAAGTGACCAAAACTAATCAGGTCCAGAAGAGCATTCAGTAAAGCTGCTTTTCTGACTCTCTGCCTCTGCCCTTCCTGCTTCTGCTGCTGAGCAGATTGCAAGAGACTGGTGCCAACTCTACATTGCTTAATAATAATTCTCATTAGCATGCTGCCTTGGATGTGTACTGCAGAGCAAAATTTAGCTTCTCCTTGGTGTGAATCAAGAGAAGAGCATGAAATTCTCAGAATGTGCAAAGGGTTAGAAGAGGGGACAGGACACCTTTGGATGTGCATAGCTGCCTCTCTTTTCTTTCCCGAACAAGGGTGGGATAGACAAAGATGAATTTTATTAATAGTACCAAACAGAGAACTTGGTGTTCTTTCTGCTTCTCCACTTGCAGCCCCGGAGATTTCAGTTGTTCGCAGCTTCTTATTGAACAGTCTGATACATTCCAAACGTACATGGCCTACCCAAGCTCAGTGCCCCTGTGGAGCGAACGCTATTAGCTTTGGTTTGTGCATTTGACCACAGGGCAACAGGCCGCCTGTACCTGCAGCTCCATGACTTCCCTGAGGTCATTCACATTAGCTTTTGTTATGAAAGTGAGCGAGATGCCGTTTACTCTCCTGCAGATGCCAGGGTGACTGAGTGGTGCTCTGAGGAGACACGCACAACCTTGCACATTCACAGCCTATTTAACAGGGGCCATATTTCCCACAACGGCTTTTACATGCCATCTGCCGTCACATGATACCACGTGCCAGGTCCTTATAAGAAATGTATTCGATCACCCAGTTTCTCACTCCTTCTTTAGAAATAGCAAATTGAATAAGACATTAAGTAGGTTTCACACACTAAAGGAATTATGTGCATATCAAATGTAGGGAATTAAAAGGGAATTTTTATTGTCATTGCTGGCTGCAAAATGGCAATCATACACCCTCATGAAAAATTTAGAGAAGTTTTCAGACCTAGTGGTAAGTGGAAAAGATACTTAAATTTTTCGTGAATTCACTTGCCAACAGAATAACTACCAAAAAAATAAATAAATTCAAAGGGGAGTCCAAGGCATTTTCTGGTTCCATACTTTTTTCTGTTCTGCTGTTGGCGTACCATTTCTCCTGTCTGATCCAATGCTGAGCTCAGTGGTAACGAAGTGCCACATTGTGAAAGGGTGAGAGAACTGGTACAAAGCATACCAGGGAACAAGTGAATTAGTACATCCTGTCACATCTAACTCTTCAAGGATGGCATCTTCTCTGTTAATTGAAAAGAAATGTAAAATGGAAGAAATAGCAAAAAAAAAAAAATTAAAATTAAATAAAAGATTTCTGGCTCTTCTATCTTTCTTCTTCTTCATGACCTGTGACAGCATACTGTAATGTCTCACAGTTTTGCATTTTCATGTATTATTCTGATACTGTCTGTAGGGAGCCTCGAACAGGCTGCCAGAGAGACAGTCTGTAATTGAAAGTTCTTTCAAGAGAAGGACTTCTATCGGGCCTGCCACGGGAATAGGAGCTCCACCTGCTGACTTTTTTATGTTTGCCGACCCTGAAAGAATGCAAAACATAAAGAAATTGAATGGTGCTATTTCTTTTATAATTTCTCAGTGGAAATATAGTTTTCAAAATTATTGATAAGACGTACCAGTCTAACCAGGGTTTTCAAAAAGAAATTGCAATCTATAGCTCGTTTTAAGAGTGGGGATTATGCTTGACTTCCCTGAGCCAGTCTAAATAATTACTTTAATCTGTAACAACATATAAATTCATAAGTTGTTGCCACCGTGGCTATGAGGGAGTACTTGACTTTTCAAACACTGCCTCTCTCAGCCATAAATTTATACTGCTGCTGGTCCATGTGTGTGTTGTTCTAAGAAGCTGTAGCCATGCTATAGATAGTTTGGAAGGAATGCTAGGTGTTTTTGATATAAGGAATAAAGGTCAAATCTGAGTAAACATATTAGCATTTTAAATAGCACAGACGTTATTTGAGTATTTGCTGTGTGCATTTCAGAGAGAAGCTATGCAGCCCTGTATAATACCCATGTAAAACCATAAGCTACTCATTTGTCTTTTCCTTGATGAAAATTGTCATGAGGAAGTATGGAATGCATTTTAAACATGCCTGGCTGCTTAATTCCCTGGAAGATGAGATCCTTGAGGGCAGGCACATCTCCTTACAATCTCAGTGTTGTGGGTTTCATTTCTTATCTAGGTTTTGTTCACCGACAAATTTTAAGCTAGATCACTTCCTGGATTTGACTAAAAAAATTGAAACCTTTATTTATGGCTTGGGTTTTGTGCTTAGAAAGACATCTTCCCATTATTTTTATGTGCGAGTTTGTAAGTCCTTTGCTGTACTCATGAAAGCCACTGGAAGTGGATATATGAGTATCCTCTCAGGCCCTATCACAGAATTTACTGTATTCAAATGATTCTTGTGGAGGTCTTAATTAGTTAGTTAGGTAGTTAGTTAGTTAGTTAGTTAGTTAGCTAGCTAGTTAGTTAGTTAGATTTTTGGTCTTCCTAACAATCTTCCCCATGACCTTTCTTCTGGTAACACACTGGGAACCCCGGGAGCTGCCACCTACCTGCGTCAGGAATGGTCACATGACTCAGACCTGGCCCATCCCCTGGTCCAATCAGAGTTCTTCCCTGGGATTCACATCTGCACAGTGGGAAAGAGAGGCTATCTCCTTCCTTAAGAGTTGCTAAACTACAGCTTCCTGTGGCCCTGTTCTCTGCTACGTGGAGACAACCTGGCTTGAGTAGGAAAATCAAGCCAGTCCTCAAAGCAAAGTGAAAGCCTGACAGAGATGAGAGCCATGGCAGGAGAACAAAAGCCACAGCAGGGTTGACTGTCTCATGCCAGTCCCCAAGGCCCTGCTTCCCTCAGCCCCTCCTTTGTTTCTGCGGGCTACCCTTGTCTTTCACCATGAGTCCTATTTCTGGCTTACAGGAGTTTGTGATGGATTTTCTGTTAATCACAACCAAAAGAGGCCTGACTACTGTTGCCCCACACAACAGAGATGACAGTGACGCAGCCAACAATTAAATACTTTCGGGGAAGGGAAGAGGCCTCATTTTCTCTATTGAGAGTAGAATTACAAAGGATGAAGAAAGGGAATCAGAACCATTTCTCGAGAGCATTAGATACCAACAAAAACTAGCATCTGTGTAGTGCTCTACAGTTTTTAAAGTACTTTCATAATCATTTTTTCATTTGACCCTTATAATAATTCTGTGAAATGAAGAGAGTACAGTGTATAATCAACCACATGTCATAAACATAACAGAATAGCAAGAGGAAGTTTTCCCTGTGGTTCGGGAATTACAGTGGAGGCCCATAGCTGAGGACAAAGGATCCTCACGTGTTTTGCATTCTGAGTCCAGGGCACCACCCCCCATCAGTTTTGGGGCCCAGCCCCTTTCTTTACAGTATTACTGGGAAGGGCCAGTTCAGAGAATCTACACAATAAACCCCAAACCCAAAGGGAGTCAAGAGAATCCTTTGTGAATATTGGGGCATCTATGAGAAGTGGAGGCTGCCATATCATGCCCCAGTTGGACATGAGTTTCACCAGAAGATCTGCCTTCTTGCTCTGAACTGTCAGAGTATAGGAAAGGAAAACAGAGAAAGTGGAGTGAGAAACCAGTGCTCAGGTTACTTTTCTAAGGCCACAAATCAAATTAGCAGCGGAGTTGAGGTTTGTTTGTAAATAATCACTGACAGTCACACTTTGGCATGCATCAGAAAACCATGGGGTGTGGGGGCACTTGGTAACAGACAGATTTCTGGTTCCCACCCTAGAGCGTCTGATTCAGTAAGTCTGGAGAAGGGCCCAAGACTCAAATTCTGACAAGCTTCTAAGTGATGCTGATACTTCTGGTCCAGGGACTCGCTGTGGGAGAAACACGAATCTAGACCATCTCACTTCAAATTCTGGACTTCTTATACACTGCCACACTGTATCCTTTTAACAATGGACTAGGCAATATTCATTCTCTGTCCTATTGCAATACTGACATTTTATCAATCTTTCAAAATGTGAGTTCTAAGAAACAATATTTTATATCCAGTACTTTTAGTATTCTTCTGCAATTTTGTGCTATGAATCTAAGATGTAGTAAATGCTATTCTGGACCTGGGCTACAAAAGTTGATGCTGGAAGCAAAAATTCTAAGCCCTGATGCCCATGCTATTTTTAAGTGTATTTTAATTAAAAAAGAGTATGGTTTGGAAGCAGGGCTAAACAGTATCAGTATACACGAGAAATGGTAACTTTAGTTTTGCACATAAAATGTACATCAGGGGAAAAAAATTAAAGCAGAAAATAAACAAGATGAACTCAAAATACTGTAGCAAATGTTGGGCTGAAATACTGCCAGGTGTGGAGGTGTAGAAAAATGAACACACATTTTGGTGGCAAGGCACAAAACTCTTTAAATCCTTTTGCAGAAGTTTCTGAAAACTGTAATTTTGGCAAGGTTCTATGAGCAGAGTTGCTGGGTTAATCATGTAGGCAAACCAACAATATCTGTAAGAATTGCCTTGTCCAGCCTTAGATATTGCATAACTTCTCTAAAACATCACCTCCGCATGTGTCAAAGAATGGAACATGGAGAAATAAATTCAGAAATTTTCTCTATACAATAAAAAGATACCAGAAGGTGTGAATTCTCAATCAACAGGAGCTAGCTTATGCTCTCTTAACAAAGTAATATTCCTACAAAGGACTCAAATTGATATATTTGGGTGTATGAGATATATATTTTTTTCTTTAAAATGTTTTATTAAGTTTAGTTTACCATGAAATCTAAAATTGATAACTTCTTCTGGTCAGTTTGATGACAGAGTGAAAATTTGAGGTGGGAGACACTAGGGCACATATGTGTGTGGTAGTGACCAGATAGTGACCTTTTAAATAATGACATATGAAATCCTAAATGTATTACTTAGGAAATGGTCGATAAAGGGCAGGAGTGGAGGCAGGTGCCCTGAACACATTTGTCCTGCGAAGAAATCTAATGAAGTATTGGAGTTACAACCCAGTAATTGCTGCCCTGGGGAATGTTCACACGAACCTTGAGCTTCTAATTATAGGGGAGGCTGAGGACCGAGTTCTCCCCGAAATGTGCTTCATACGTTTTGCTACCTTTCTGACTGTGGGGCCAAGACCCAGCCTTACACAGAAGTGGAGAAGAAAGCACCCTAACCCAAGGACAGATCTCTACCTGTGAAGTGGATTTTGTTAGACTGGATTTCCAAACGTTGAGTCATTATTTGGGAGAAAAAGAAGTATAAAATTTTCTAAGAAAAGAATATAAAGGAAGTATGAGAAAGTTGTATGCTGGTGAAGGAGTTTAAGAAATGTCTTTGGGTTCACCCAAAGTTTTCTCATTCAGCTATGCCCAAGATAAAAGATATATGTTTGTTATAATCTATGTGCCAGACTCTTACTAATTTGTAATCATCACTGTGGTGCTTAGAGAGAGGTGCTATTGTGATCTGATAGATGAAAAATTTTAAGGGTAGGGGCTTACACACAATTAATAAATGAGTGAGTGTGGATTCAAAACCAGCTCTCTCAGCCTCTAGAGCAGCTGATGTTTCATGTATTTGGGTAATTTTATTGAGATCTTGGAGGAAGTGAAGATAATTTTTAGTTAACATCTACTGATAGACTTAGCAATGTCTATTGGAGACTTAGGACATAGCAAAAACCTTGGGTAAAGGAAGGTGAGAAAGTTAAGGGAGCACTTAGGAATGACTAGAGGTGGCCCACTGGGAAGGTGGGACTAGTAAAATTTTAACAGCTTTTCCCCCTGGTCTCAGACTGTCCCTGGCTATACTGTCTAGGGCATGTAGTAATCAATTCAGCACATATCTATTGAGGACTTGTAATACAGTAAGCACTATACTTAGGTCATAAGACATAGGTGCTGCTTTTTTGATGTTGATGCAATGATTCTCAAACTATTACAACATTAGAATATTCTGATAATTTAAAGTTCTGATGCCAGGGACCCATCCCCAAGCTATTTGGAGTCACTTGCTCTGGGGAAAAATCTAAGTGTTATTATTTTTCTAAAAACTCTCCAGGTGATTCTACTTATAATCATAAATGTTCACCTGTCTAATAGGTGATATAAGTTCCTAATGATAGGATGGGGATGAGTATTATAGGTACACTGAGATAATATGCCCCTTAGCCCTGGCTGCAGCTATATAAATATTATCATTTTATATATCTGCTGTGATACACAAAAGGTTAGGAACACTCATAAATAATTAGCAAATAAGTCATTTTGCTAATTTTAATGTGGCACACATCACAGCTTGTGGGTGGGTTGGGTATGTGTTGTGTGTGTGTGTGTGTCTGTCTGTCTGTCTTTACAGAGGAGTGGCTGAGGATCCATAACCTTAGGCAATGGCCCTAAGCAGTCTTTTGCAGAATCTCCATCAGTAGGGCAAAAAAAATAATAATAATAAAATAAAATCATAAAACAGAGAGGATCTTCAAAGTCATCTTCTAGCCCAACCCCTTTGTATCAGAGATAAGGAATCTACTTTAAATCACAGAGCAAGGCAGGGTTGGAGTCTGGCCATGGACCTCATTCTTTCATATCCTCTTCAAATAGCTTGATGGTAAATCATATCCCTGCATAGGATGCAGTATTTAATTGCATAAAGTGTAAAATTAAATGTCTCCGCCAAGTCATATTTATAACGAGGCCTCACCCTGTGCTATTTTGCCTTTGTTGCACACGCTGCATACTAAGTAAAGTGACAGTCCAAGAGATAGACACTTAAGTAAAAGATCTCCAAAGAGGCTGATTATTTTCTTATGCCCAACAAGGAAAAGAAAAAAAAAATGACACAAAGCCTTCCCCAGGTAGGTAAAATGCCAAGTTTCTGCCAAGCCATCTTCCCTCTCTCTGGGCTGTCTCTCCAGTCCCTCTGCCTGCTGCTGTTTTCATTGCTATCATTATTTCTGTTTCTCTGAAGGTAGAGAATTCTGCCAAACTGCTCTGTCCTCCTCAGAGTCTCTCAAATGACTGTTATCCAAAGGCCCTTTTGCCCAGCCTCCAGCCCATTCCTTTCTCTAGCTTTTACACGATGCCTCATTCTCCCTAAGACCTTACCTAGCATGTCACACTCATTCTACCACTAGCTGCTGCTGCTGCTGCTCTCACTGGCTTTGTGGCTTTCAGCACCAACATTTCCAGTGGAAATTCTATTATAACCACTCTGATTGTGAGATTCTGAACACTGATCCTCCATCCCTGATTATGTTTGGTGGATCTCTGCTAAAACGGGTTAAGAGCACATCCTGGGTGAAAACGGCCTCATCCTCTGCCACAGGGACACTTGCTACCATCAGCCCTAGGGGTTCTGTTCCAAAAACCATATCCTGGCACTCTGCCCCTTCCCTTCTCTTTCGTCCTCTTCCTCGCAGTGTCCTCCACATATGATATTCTCAGCTTTTTAGAGTCCCAAGACTATTTGATTGCTACCATATTGCGTAATTGTTGACCCTAAGGATTTTGGCATCAAACACCTTGCCTTTGAATTAGCTAGCTATGTCACATACCAAGTGTCTGGACTTTGGCAAGTCATTGGATTTTATGAGTCTTTATAAATGGGGCTAATAATACTTTATTTTTAAATTTTTACCCAAATATTTCTATATTATTTTAGTTGGGGTACAGCTATGCTGCTGTAACAAAGAGACCCCGAATACAGTGGTTTAAATATAACAGCAACATATTTTTGTCTCATATTACAGCCAGAGGAATGTTTGTGGTCCAGGAAATACACACCACAGGTCATTCATGGCCTTGACTTCTTTCTGTCTTGTTGTCCTGCCATCTCTGAGGATTTTCATCTGTGTGATTAAAGCTGTTTCATCTTGCTGTCTAAATTCCAGAAGATGGGAAAAGGAAAAGTTCAGGTTGAGTGGTTTTGTCTTTAAGGAAGTGACTGCAAGGAATGTCATTAATAATCACACCAGTTGGCAAAAACTGAGCCACGACCTCGCTGGCCACACCTTTCTAAGAAGTTGTAAAATATAGTCTGTAGCTGCATGGCTCTCTATTACTAAAAGGAAAAGGGGAGAATAGATAATGGGGACATTGAGTGACCTCTGTCATTTGTACAACATGATTAAAAGTTCAACTAGGACAGTGGCATGTATATGGAAATAGCAGTCATCTGCCCTAAGCTTCCTCACTCTCAATACTACTTTCCAAAGGAAACCACTTTGTGAATCAAACTCTCTTGCTTTTTAGCTATTTTAATGATTTCCTACTTATGTGATAATATATAAATTAATCTTAAATAGTACCTTATAGAGTCTAAATAGGCTATCTAAATAATGTATCCTCTACATAATACCTTATTGATTTTTACTTTGTATAAAGCTAACTAGGTATTTTGGACCAACCCTCTTGCTGAGGGCAACCAAAGAAGTTGGAGAAAGTAGAAAAAGCACCTTCTTGAAAGCATCAAAAATTTGCAAAATAGTGAGGAAGGTTAGGGTCAAGATCTAGGAAAAGACAAACTAGAGAGAGAAACCCAGACATCAAAATTGCTTTTTTTTTCCCCCTTGAGGGTTTTTGCCAAGTCTGGGGAAGCAGCTGCAAAGCTGAACCAACCTTTTGGTGATTCCCCAGGGCTGGGCTATAGACGTTAAAAACTAAAAACTGCCAGGAATAGGGATTTGATAAATCAAGCCCCCTTTGAGCTGAGAAACTGAATGATCACAGTCTCAATATGAGGAATAACTGCAAGTAAACCAGCCCTTGCATGGATTTGTAGTCAGTTTTGCATCATTTTATGGTACGTGCGAACTCCAACTCTGACATTATATTAAGATATTACTGGAATGATAACATAAACTGCTATTTGCAAGAGCAAATGAATATCCTTTCAGGAGAAGGCATCATCATATCAAGCCTCAAAATTTCCTCCAACTAATTTGTAAAATATAATATCTGGCATGCAGAGAAAAATAACTAGGTTTACAAGGCAACGGGATGTAATGAATAATAGAAGAATAGCAAATAACAGAAAGGAGACCCTAAAATATAAGTTATTGAAATTATCAGATATGATTCATATTCTTTTTTCTTTTTTTTTTTTTTTTTGAGACAGAGTCTCACTTGTTGCCCAGGGTAGAGTGAGTGCCGTGGTGTCAGCCCAGCTCACAGCAACCTCAAACTCCTGGGCTCAAGCGATCCTCCTGCCTCAGCCTCCCGAGTAGCTGGGACTACAGGCATGTGCCACCATGCCCGGCTAATTTTTTCTATATATATTAGTTGGCCAATTAATTTCTTTCTATTTATAGTAGAGACAGGCCTCGCTCTTGCTCAGGCTGGTTTCGAACTCCTGACCTTGAGCAATCCGCCCGTCTCAGCCTCCCAGAGAGCTAGGATTACAGGCGTGAGCCACCGCGCCCGGCTTGATTCATATTCTTTGTAAAAGAGCGGAGTGAATCCATCTGGTATTTGTAACATATTTTGGTACTACCTTTCAGAGGTGCTATCAGGAATCTGAAGAAGATGAAAATATCATTTACCTTTACTTTTTTTTTTTTCTTACTTCAGTTTGACAACATTTCTTATGTCTTTCCCCTGATGAAATGTATGGAAATATCGATAAAAGTACATTATGATCTGAAATAATATGTGAATGGTTTGGCGATGACTCAAGGACAAAGATCTTGAGATAGAAGACTACAGTCCCTAAAAGCAGTGACACCATGTCTTTGAACAAGGCCAAGAGAGAATCTAATTTACTGAGAAGGAACATAGTTATTTCTTTCCCTTTTGCTTTTAAACTTTTTTTTTTTTTTAAATAATACACCACAGTAAGAAATATCTTTTACATTGTGATCAGATACACACATATGCATTGTATATGTGTGTGTATTTGAAATAACAGTTTCAAGGAATAAAACTTACCCTTACTATGTTTGATGCACTCTGAAATGATCCATTCTACTGTATTTAATTTTTTAAATGCTGTTTGAGACCATTATGTTGATTTTATGTTCCATACTTCAAAGATCACACTGCTTTAGGGTTTTACTTATCTTGCTTTTCTAAATGACAAGCCTCCTCAAGTTGACTTTAAATGCATTTAATTTGGTCCCATTCTCTTTTTTGGGATCTGTGCTTCCCAATATAAATACTAAAAGGGAATTATTAGTTAAGATGGAAGAATACTGAGAAAAATCAGTTTATGATTTGGTTGGTTAATTTACTGTCACACAAATTAATGCAACAAGGAAATTCTCCCCATCTTTCACATTCCTTGCCCATTCAAACTCTTTCATTCTTTCCTATTTCCTTCTTTTCTTATTTCCCCCGGAGACTGATTTTCAGTTGTTATTAGGCATAGCAGGTTTATTGAAAGGAATGTAGAAGACTAAGGTTAATGAGCACCAATTATGTACACAGTACTTTTTATATATTACTTCTTATCAATAACTACTCATGGTATTTTTTTTATTCATCCTTTTTTGCTCATAAGAAAACTGGGATTTAGAGAAGTAAATTAACTTTCCCAAGGTCAAAAAGTTCAAAAAGCTAGTTTGTGGTAGAATTGACCCACAAACCCAGGTCTTGCTAACACCAAAATAATTCCAATGTATCAATATAAAAACCACACACATAAAAAGAAAAATTAGACCTATGGTTTTAATCTGCTAACTCTAGTAAAGCACGTTTGTGTGCTTCTCTTTGAATTGTTTTTTGTTGTTGTTGTTGTTGTTGTTGTTAGATTCTTATATTTACCAATCATTATACAGAACATATGTTGAACTTTCCAACATATATTCCATGTATACATTCTCCCCAGAACATCATTTATTCATTTCGAGTACTACAGAGCTTATAGTCTAGGTATGTCATTTTTTCCCACAAGGATTCCATGTTTTCTGTTGGCCTCACAAAGAAACCCAGGATTTTAATTTACCTTTGCATCACAACGTTTTCTTTTAATTAGCCTCCTCAATATTGAAGAGAAAATCAAAATAAAATTCTTTCCTTCCTAACCTTTAGTTCTAAGCCGAGCCCATTGGGGACTTTAAAATAATCACTCTGAAAGGCGATTTCTGCATTGGTAAACACTTTGTATGACATTAAATAAGTGTTGCCTGTTCTAGGAGACAGAATGGACTGAATTAACCCGTAGTGCCTCTCCCTTAGCTTCAGTGACAGGTATAAAGAAGAGAACGCATCCCATTGAGGGGCCTCTTTCCCTTGAGCGTGGATCAGAATTCCTCTCAACTGACAGGAGACACCAGCTCTAAAGCTGAAGCTGAAGCAGGTACCTAGTGTCTTTTAAAAACTCAACAGCAATACTGAGATGTAATTTACATAGTAAAACCCACTACTATTTCCACCCACAACAAAACCCCCAGCTCTGAAACCTGAAAGGAAAGGAGCGATACACGTGAATTTCATGCTTTCACCAGTTTGCACTCAGTCAACCTCTCCTACGATTTTGCTCTCTCTCCCTCTTCTCTACCCCCCACCCCCAGTGCCCTTCTGTGTGCTTCTCACATAGTGTAGTGACATGTCCACTCTGGTGCTTTCACACATGGGCTTTCAAGAATTCCTTACTGATGATGTTTTATTCCAAGGTGGGGCAACCATAAAATGGCATCATCGTACTTGAACACCTACAAGTACAGCTGATGCTTTCTGTCTGGAGAAAAACAAAGTGGCAAGAGGAGTGAAATTTCAAGTATCATCTTTCATATCACGATGAACAATTTAATATCAGGTTTTTACTTGAAGGTTTTAGATGGCAGCATGGATGGAGATGGACCCCAGTGCAGTGACTAAACAAAAGGTAAGATTACTATAATACACGTGGTGCCATGATGCCAAAGTGAAAACAGCAGTGGTGTTCTCTGAATAATGCCTTCCACGATGATGATGTCTTTCTTTAAGTTTTGATCCTCCTTAGGCTAACTCTCTAACTCATCCAAGGTTGGCAGACACACACACAGTGTTGTAGTATCCAAAAGATCCTATGAAAACTAAGAAAAGTTTACCCTTAGCTTCCTCTCAGTCATTTGTGAGCCTCTGTGATCCTCAGCTTAGGGGGAGATTCCATATGATAGGATGGTCTGCTAGAGATGAATTAATTTGTGTTTTTCACTCCAATGTGAGAAGGAACATGCCAGAGAATCAACTTTGGGACTCAACATTTACAGAGAAGCAAGAAAGCCCTGGAATCACCGAAGTGAGCCGTATACACTTCAGGAGGCTGGCGCAGAGCAAGTGGCCCTGTGGTGCTGGGATGATGAGGCCCTGTCTGCCCAGCAATCACAGAGGGCAGGTGACAGAGAAGCTGCCTCTTGAAACAAGTAGTCTTTTGTCCCGAGACAAGAGGTATCACTAGGCAACTTATGCTTTCATGTTAGAAAAGGGAAAGTTGTCTAAGCTCTGAGAGTGTAGATTCTTGAAAGGAAAACAGGTCATTGGAAAAGCTGAGCATTGATGGGGAACTGAGGAAGAACAACTATAGGGAACTTCTGGCCAAGATTAAAATGGAATGAGCTGCATCTCTTGCTTCCGTCCCCAACCTTTTTGACACCAGGGACCGGTTCCGTGAAAGACAGTCTTTCCACAGATGGAAAAGAGTAAAAATAAAGTAAAGAAATCTCCTTCTAGGCTGGGCGTGGTGGCTCACGCCTGAAATCCTAGCACTCTGGGAGGCCAAGACGGGCAGATCACTCAAGGCCAGGAGTTTGAGCCTGAGCAAGAGCAAGACCCTGTCTCTACTAAAAGCAGAAATAAATTAGCTGGACAACTAAAAATATATAGAAAAATTCTGCCGGGCATGGTGGCGCATGCCTGTAGTCCCAGCTACTCAGGAGGCTGAGGCAGGAGGATTGCTTGAGCCCAGGAGTTTGAGGTTGCTGTGAGGTAGGCTGAGGCCACCACACTCTACCCTGGGCAACAGAGTGAAACTGTGTCTCAAAAAAAAAAGAGTGAGAGAAAAGAAATCTTCTAGAAGAAGAGTGGGTGGGGGATGGGCAACAGTTCCTGGGCTCCGCCTCAGATCAGATCATTAGGTGTTGGATTCTCCTGGGGAGCGCACGACCTGGATCCCTCACATGCGCAGTTTGAGGGTCCGATGCAGCTGCTGATCTGAGTGTGGGGGCGGGGCGGGCTGGGGCGGTGATGGGAAGGCTGGGGCCGCTGTGGGTTCAGTGGGGCTTCCACTCGCTCACCCGCCCCTCATGGGACGGTAAAGGGCAAATTCCCAAACGCACAATGAGCAACATCTTAGATGTTTAAGTTGGACTGACTTTCTTAGACTACATAAGGTCTAGGATTTGGGGGATAATTTATGGAAACAGAACATACTAGTTTCCTATTGCCACTATAACCAGTTATCGCAAACTCGGTGGCTTAAAACAACACAAATTCATGATCTTATGTAGTTCTGTAGGTTTGAAGTCTGAAACGGATCTCTCCTGGCTAAAAAGGAGGCGTTACCAGGGCTGCATCCCTTCCGGATGCCACAGGGGTCTCCTGTGCTTGCCTTTCCAGCCTCTACAGACTGCCCATATGTCTTGGCTGGTGACCCCTTCCTCCAGCAGTCAGCCCAGTCCTTCTCCCACCGCCACCTCTCTGGTTATCTTTCTTCTACCTCCCCCTTCCACTCATAAGGACCCTTAGGATTATATTGGGCTCGCTTGAATAGTCCCCCTATTTTTAGGTCATCTGATTAGCAACCTTAATGCCACTTGCAGCCTTAATTCTCCTTTGCCATGTAACCTACTATATTAACACAGGTTCCAGGGATTAGAACACAGACATCTATGAGGGGTGGTATTTATGCTGCCTACCATGCAGGGGGACCCTACCAGGGAAATACTGAATTTCCTGGCAAGATGGTAGGTAGGTAAGAAGTGCAAGCAGGCTTAGGGATGGACTCAGCCATGGTTATTAACACCGACTGCGTGTATGATCATGTGACAGCTTCAAAAAATACTAATGCCCAAGTTACCCCTTGTATATTTTGATTCAATAGGCTTGGTATGGGTTCTATTTAGTAATGTTGGGATACGCAGATCTGAATAACCTACATGATTTTTGTTTGTAGGCAGGGTTTTGAACCCTGATCAAGGACAGGAGAGTTGGTATCTTAACTTTTGGGGGTGAGGATAGAAATCCAGATCACACACATCCTAAAATTCTATGTTCTTTTCAGTTACTTTTGTTATATATTGTGTCCCACCTCTCTAACTTAACCTCTAGCTATCAAATTTAATATTTGAGTTTTAAATAATCCCAGAAGTGGAGAAATCTTCTTTTAGAAAAAAAATTATTTTAAACTGCATTTTATACATTTTAATTGACTCTCTCGATCTGTCCTAACTTGTTTTCCAAACAGTCTTTTAACTGAAAAATTACATCATTAAGAGTCCATCAATAATAGTTTATTTCACAATATATACCTAGCTCATTTGTCACGAAGAGTTAAACTGTATTTCATTTACCTTAATGAAATCTATTTTCCTGAGGCTTCCCTCTATAGTGTTTACTTCATAAACACTTCATGGTATTTGAATCAGTTTATGCATTTTCTATTTTGTTACTTTTCTTATTTTATTTTATTTCATTCTTGCATATAAAATTGTTGGTAGTTGCTATGGCAATTCTAATTGATTTCTTTCTGCTGTTTTTGCAGGCTTTTAAAAAGATTTGCACAATACATCCTTCATATTGTTATTTTTATCTCTGTAAATTTGTAATAGCCTCTCCAAAAATAATAATAAAAAAAAAAGCTGTGTAACAGGAGCATCAGATGTTACTTTGCTCAGTGTGAGAATAGAAGAAAACTAAGGAAGAAAAGTCAAGCCAGGAAGGGCAATGAAGAAAAGGGTTAGAGTTCAAAAGTAAAAGTGGGTGCCACACAAAAGAAAGAGATCAGGTACCTGAGTCAGCGCCAATGCAAGGGCGGGAGATGTGCTTTTAAAGAGAATTGAACTTGTCAGTGTGACTCAGCTCTGGAAGACTAATAAATGATGGAGGAAGAGGCAGGAGACGGAAGTGAGGTGAAGTGTCACCGTTTTCTTTGTTTATCTCTTGGTGGATCTCAAAAACCTTCTGTACACACACAAGAGTATGCACTCATGGACTGTATCGGGATATATCTATTGTCAAGATCAGTGCACAGTCTCATTTCAGCAAACCAAGGATGTGTTCTCTGGCAAGGTGCTGTGTTGTTGATTAACTGCCTTCTTTTAGGAGATGCACTACCACATTATTTGCAGTCAGTACTAGAAATCATGAGAAAAAAAGAAAAAAGATTCTAGGGGATCTGGAATAAATTGAATTTGGTTTTAGAATTCCAGAAAATTTACATAGTTTTTAGTTACCCACATATTTTTCCCAAAGCTAATTGCTATAAAAAATATATAATAAAGTGAAATAACAAATAAATCTTCTACAGTAAAGTAGGGATAAATTTAAGGCACAAATGTGTGCACCATGAACCCTACACATTGGTTAAAGATCAGTTGTGAATTTCCCTTTAAGCTTCTTACCGGCCAAAGCAAAAAGGAAAGTACAAGCAGAGTCAAGACTCACAGTGCCTAGGAAGGAAACATTTTTGTCAGGTACATTGGAAAAACACAATATTTCCAAGAGCTGAGACAGGTGACAAATTTCCCCAAGGAAGGGATATTTTAATATAATGAACAATGGCCTCAACAATATCCCTGCAATATGAAACAGCAAGTTTCATACAGCAACTTTTAAAAAATTTCCACCAACAGAAGTCAAAGGCGTAACGCTGGAGCACAACTCAGAAAAAGCAGTTTAATAAGGGTGAAGATTTCTGAAGGACAAATACCCTGCTCTTGGACAATTTTGGTTATCAAAGGTTACTCTATGTGGAGAGTACTAGCATACGCATTTTAGAGAACATTTGTGTCCCATCCCACTGCATGGCTAAAATCAAGAGATTTGAGAAGGTTGTACCCTATAAGCCATTTCAGATTCTCACTTTACAACAAAGAAACATCATCTCATGCTCGCGTACACAGATGAAAAAAGATCTCAGTGATAATAAACATGATTTATCTGAGGAACCCGTTGTAAAAATTACATTACGCAGGCTTATGTGAAATATGCAAAAGCTTTGAGAAATAAATGCCTAGAATAATCCACCATAAAACTTTTAGATAAATTATTATGACCCCGTTCTTCTGGTATAAACATAAATGTGTTTCCGATAAATGTATTTTATTACGTTTTGTTTTATAAGACCACCCTATTATAAATTCAGGATGGTTGAAAGAAAAATTTAAGGGCCTCTCTTCCTTTGGCAGTCAGAACAAGGTTTTTCAAACCAAAAACATATGTTTAAATTTAGCTCCACATGTGCCAGCCAGCTATTGAGTGAACACTGACATGTGTTTGAGCTGTAGGGATCTCAAATCTCTCTCTGCTTCTCTCCTCAGTCCCCCAACGCCACCCATCTCCCTCCCACCCTCTCTCTCACACACACAAACATGCACACACACCCCCCACATATTGGGAATTCATATATTTAGCAGGTAACAAGATCCTAGTATTCAGAGCAAACACTTTCCTTGATGAAAGATCAGTATGGCATACTGTCCACAGTACCTTACCTTGAGGGGCACAAGCGAATGATTCTTGGCAAATTCCGAATACCGCTTGAGCTTGAATTTTGAATACCCCTCTAGCTTGTCCTATTCATTAGTAAATTATTTTCCTCTGTTTCTCAGTTATGTACATGACATACTAAAATCAGTGAATTTCTTAATCAGTTCTTTTCTAGATAAGTAAACATGCCACTGGTGGAATAATATTAGCAAATCACAGTGAGAGCACAGTGTTGAAAACAATCTAGTTTTGTTCCTCTGACTGTTAAATCCTTGGCAGCCATAGTCATGTGCCTCGCAGACCCCCAACTATGGGGAGCGATTTGACCAAGGGCCCGGAGTATTCTGAAATTCATCACCATGTCTGTGATTTGTGCCTGGACACAGTGCTGCTCTCAGCCAATGGCTGAACAGGGCAGGATACTAAGGCAGGCCCATTCCTGGGAGACACCCTGACGCTTCTATTCTACCTTTCCTTTTTCTCTCCCTCTTCACACTTGCATCCAGTCTGAAGACACTCATATTTTTCCAGTTCCTTTCCTACTGTCTCTCACACAGGTGGTTCCCCTAATAAAATCTTTCCTTGTTAAATTCTGTCTTTGCATCTATGTCTTGGAGGACCAGGACTAACATAACATACTCTGTTTAGTTTTAAAGTTGTGTTACCTAAACTTTAGAAAATGCATCTTCACACAATCAAGGGCTGTGGCTCTTAATTAGTCTTCTGCTGGAAACGGGTGCATTACATTTTAAGCATAAAGTTGCACCTATGGATTTGGATTCTAGATCGAGCCAGATTGAAATTCCTTATAAATAACTTTCCAAAATAAATTCCTAAGTCATTCACTTGTCCAAGAAACCACAGTGATTCCTCTTACCCTAAAGTCATCAGTAGTCAATCCATTCTTTCCAAGAATGTTGAGATTTTGTTTTCTGGAACCCCACTTTCACATAAATCATGCCTATAAGTTTTCTCAATTAGAATATGTGCCAATTAGAATATATTCTGTGTCCTAAACCTCACCCTTTTCACTTGATAGATGCTACTGGCAATATACAGCTTTATATTGTTGCTTATGTGAGTGATACATCCTGGAATAATGCAGACAGGTTAAATTTAAGACCACGCAAGGAAATGCAGCCTTTTGGGTTTCTCCAAAGGAAGTAGCAAACTTTATTCCCTCTCCTAATTTGTAACCACTTAAAAACAAATAGACAATGGAGTCAGATAGAGACCAAAAGATCAACTTTCAGATATTTGATAGACCTTGCATCTAGGCCATGGGTGACCCTTTGCCCATCCAACACTAAGTCATGCAAGTAGAAAATTGAAGGACTCCCGGCTGTAGGTCAGAGCATGGCAATGGAGAGAATGTTATGTGTGGCCAATCAGCAGATTCCAGAGAGAAGAGCAAGTACTGTCTGAGAACAGACCAGCTCAAAGATAAAAGCACATAAAAAGGATTTATCTGTTCTCTACCTTACAACTGAGATAAGTTACTCCTTCTCTCTTGGGCAGAAGTGGGAGAAGGGCAGAAAGAAACTTCCTAATTCTTTTTGAAATTACAGCTATTTTGTTGTATGGACCATGGTATGAAAACAGAGCAAGGGAAATATCTTGTTCAACAAAACCCCAATCCCTGCTCTACCCCTGGGGAGGTCAGTGGCATTAACCTTGTGTGTGAAGGACAGAACGTCTCTAGGCCACCTTAGCTAAGGGGACAGTCAGGATAGACATTGCACAGAAAACAAAGCAACCTCTGCTTTCCTTCATTTCATTACTATTCACATGTTTCAGAACAATTCATTCAAGATTCATATAAAGTTAGCTATGGGCTTTTCTAAATAGAGCTCTTACATCTTAAAAATAAATCCAAGGCTTTTAAAGCTCTGTAATTATCTTGTCTATTATCTCATCTGCTGCTTCATCTTTCATTCCCTCTCTTGATCTTTTATCTGTATGGGGGGTTGCCATTTTTGCATAGCTTTTAAAGCAAATTCTGGATATTTTCAGAGATGGGGGAGGGGTAGGAGAATAGATATGTCACAATTCATGTTACTTACTCATTTTTCTAGAAGTTAACTCCTCAAGCACCTGATGAGTTATAGGCACCTGGGTGTTTATTATAGATTTATTTTTGTAATGGGGCTTTCTTCTTGCTTTTTTATTTTTTATTTCAAATTATTATGGTGATACAAATGTTTTTGGTTACATGGATCACTTTTGTAAAGCTCAAGTCAGGGTTAAAAGTGTGCCCATCACCCAGATAGTGTTCATTGTACTAAGTTAGGTACGTTTTCACCCATCTCCTCCTCCCCCTCCCCCTTGCTTGATTTCCTTTGAGTTTTACTTCCCTCTATGCACATGTGTGCTCATCAGTTAGTTCCAATGTAATAGCGACCACATATGGTGTTTGTTTTTCCATTCTTTAGATACTTCACTTAGGATAATGGTTTCCAGTTCCATACAAATTGTTGCAAAAGGCATTAAGTCATTCTTCTTCATGGCTGAGTAGTATTCCATGGTGTACATATATCACATTTTGTTAATCCACTCATGAACTGATGGGCATTTGGGTTGATTCCACATCTTTGCAATTGTGAATTGTGCTGTAATAAACATCCTAGTGCAAGTGTCTTTTTGATAAAATGACTTATTTTCCTTTGGGTAATTACCCAGTAATGGCATTGCTGGATCAAATAGTAGGTTGACTTTTAATTCTTTAAGGAATCTCCATACTGTTTTCTACAGAGGTTGTACTAATTTGCAGTACCAAGAATGTAAGTAGTCCTTTCTGCTCAGGCATTAGAGTTTGAATAAGAATTTTAGTTCTATCATTTTATCACTGTGATTACACTTAAGGATGAAAATTCTTAAAATTTCCTGTGCTGTGGCATTATCACCATCATTCAAATCACATTTTTCAACTTCTTATTCTTAGGGGCTCCATCCTTAATGATTTATGTAACTAATTTAGTGACCTCTGTAAAGTAAACCTACTTTTCTGATGGGGGAAGATATCTAGAAAAAAATGTGGTATGTCTCCAGGAAAAAAAAATCACGTTTGACTAAAATACTACATAAGTAGATGTAAATTTATGCATAGTTTTCTGATTTAAAAAGTATTATATACTTTTACAAAATTTAGAAATTATAAAAAAGATAGCAGAAAAATAATATAAAGTAGAATAAAAAATATCTTTTAAATGATCATTTGATTTAACCATTAATATTTTAGTGTCTTTCTAGTATTTCATACTACACACACACACACACACACACACACACACACACCGAATGTTTATAAATTTTGGATCATACTAAGTAGAGTTTCATATCCTTTTGTTTTCACTTAATGTAATATTGTGAGCATTTTCCTATATCATTATGTAGATATTAAAATATGTTTTTAATGACAGCATATATAAGAATTTATCATCAAATACTTTACCAAACCACTCTTAGATATATAACATTTGTTATTCCAAAATTTTTACCATGATAAATGATGCTGTTATGAACATTCTTATGCAGAGGGTTTTTTTTTTACCACATTGCTGATTATTTCCAAAGGAAATAAAATTAATTAAAAGAAATTATTATTTAAGAAGCAAAGATCCAATGACCAATTATTATTAATAACTTCTTTGGAGGACAGTCGCATGGAGACACTTTCTTTCTGTATTTCACAATAATTGGGAAGCCAAATTAATAGTCAGAAGTTTCCTGCAAAGAGTGTAGAATCATGCAAGAGGTGCCAATCTTGAAGGATATTTCATCCCAGTCATAGTAAGGCTTGAAAGTTCTGACTTCTTCAGTTAAATTGATGTCTTTATACTAAAAACATTTTGTCACCACCAACATTATTGATACTGCAATCTAGATAGCTTTTGGCTTGCAATATTTACCATACTATGAAGCACTTTAAAACTCTGCATGTGCCCAGATTACTCTGCATAATCAACAAAGGACTTCATTTGTCCCAGCTGAAATGTCAGCTAAAGGTCCACTGCTGGGCCTTGGGCTTTCAGAAAGAGAACACACTCCTATAAATCTCTAAGAGAGGTGGTCTAGACCAAGGCACACCTGATAATTAAATGTTCATTAGGGACAACTGAGCATCTAGCCTTGAGGGAGACAGAGTCACATGACAAAAATTGAAGATGAGAAGAAGGTATTGATTGCTTAGATATAGATATGATAGCTATTTCTAATGGTAAAAGATGGCTAGTTTTATCTGTTCCATATTTGGCATGCATAAATGATTTAATATTATACTTTTGACTATTCTATTATTATTCTTACAGTTTCAGCGTGTCTTCATCTCTCTTGGGAGCTGGGGAAGTGTATGTGTGTTTCTCACACTCTATCTCCCACTCCAAACCCCACCCAAAGGTAGGTTTAGACTCAGATGTGAGACCAAATTGGTATTTATGCGAAGATTGAATAAGAAACTAGCAGGGAAGAGAGTCCAGGGCTGTTCAGATCTGGGAAGGGCACTGTTGCCTTTATAGTTCACATGGATGTGTCTGCCTGTCTAAAAAGGGACACAAGCAAGTCAGGCACCCTGATGTGCCGCTCTTCGGAGGCTAAATTAGATTAATTGACTCCTTCAATCATTGCCTTCCGGGAGTTTACAGGCTATGGGAGTTATCGCTCAACTAGAAAGATCTAAAAAATGCAGATAATAGAAAAATATTCCACAAATACAGAGGAAAAAAGATATCTGATGAAATCAGAAGTGTTCAGAATTCACTCAATTGAAAACTGTGATTTATTCATACCTTCAGCAAATATTTATTAAGCATCTAATATATGTTGATACTAAACTAGACACTATGGATATCGGGATGAACAAGACAGACAAAATCATTGTTTTGTTTTTTTGAACTTGAGTTAGGCTGGAGAGGATAGAAAATAAGCACACACAAAGGCAGTGCAATTTGGAGGAATGATAAGTGCTAGAGAGAAAAATAAAGCCATGTAAAGGGATTCCAAGTGAAGGGGTGCCGAATTTTCTGGGAAGTCAGACTTGAATGAAGTGAAGAAGTGAAGCCATTAGGAGGCCCAGGGAAGAGTTTTCTAGGTGGAGGGAACTATAAGGTCAAAGGCCCTGAGGAAGAGGAAGCTCGGCATGTTTGAGAGGCAGCACAAAGGCCCTGGTGCGTGGGAGAGCAGAGGGAGAAAGGAGAGAGTGACTAGAAATGAGTTCAAAGAAATGGAGGACACCAGGGCCTTCTAAGAAATGGGCGGAAGTCTGGATTTTATTCTCACTGCTATACAGGAAGTCTCGGGAGAGTTTGGTCTCAAGAGCGACATAATCTAATATACAGTCAGGAAGTGTCACTCTGGCTGCTCTGAGGAGCAGGAAGACCATCGGCGGTCCTGGTGATGACAGAGGGTGACTGGAACTATCAGGATGGGAGGGGAGAGGGAGAGTGTTCAGGACAGTGATCGGTTTTGAGGTAGTCAATTAAACGTGCTGAAGACTGGGAATGGGTTGTGAAGAGAGTAACAAGAGGATGAAGCATCGTGTTTGACTCCAGAAACTGAGCGTGGGGGCACTGGGAAGGAATGGGTAAAGGATGGGAGGAGAATTTAAAGCCCCATTTTGGATGTGTTAAAGTGGAGATGTCTATTAGACAAACAAGTGACACTGTCATATAGGCAGGAAAGGTAAGTTCAGAGTTCAGGGAAGAGGTCAGAGATGGAGGCATAAATTTGTGAGCTTTCAGAATATAGGTGGTATTCAAACCCTTGTGACTGGATGGAACAGGGAGAGCGTGTGGGTAGACAAGAGAAGAGAGGAGAGGAGGGAAGGGGAGGGCAAGGGAGGGGAGGGGAGGAGAGAAGCAAAGAGGGGAGGGAAGGAGAGAAGAGAGGACTGAGTTGAAAGCCTGGCAGCATGCCAACATTTAGAAGTCAGTAAGAAGCACTTTAGGGAGGTTAACAAAGACAAGTACAGGGAAGTGACCAGTAACATTTGCAAGAAGGAGGTCATTGGTTAGATGATTTATTATCCATGTAAATGTATAGTCTGACCCATGATTTTTCAAGAGTGAGAAAAAAGTTATTAATAATTTTGCCAGGACAATAGGTGCAAGCTGGAACTGTCGTTGGCAAACCAGAACATATGGCCACAGTAGACGTTGGTGACCTTGATGGGACCAGTTTCAACAGAGTTGTAGCGATGGCAATCTGGTTGGTGTGGTCTGAGGAGAGAATAAAAGGTAAAGAAAACAGGAGGCATAGGTAACCCTTTTCAGAAATTTCACAAAAAAGGAGGGAGCAGAAAAACAGGACATGGCTAGAGAGGATATGAAATGAAGGAAAAGTTTATTTGTTTGTTTTTAAATGGGAGATATTATAGCATCTACATATGCCAATATGAAGGATTCAGGAGAGAGGAAAAAAAACTGATAATGCAGGGAGAAAGGAATAGCTGGAGAAGCAGAGTCTGTGACTAAGAGAACAGTGTAAGGACAGTGGCTGACTGGGAATCACTTGACCATTGTCACAAGGGGAGGCAGAATCTGTGAATTACAGGCATACATGGTTGCTAGATTTGGCCGTGGGAAAATGAGTTACCTTCTTAGCTAAAGCAAGAGAGATTCCACTTTTGTGAAATCCTCTTTTTCCTCCCGCAAGAAGCCACAGTTTACCATTTGGGGGCAATTTTCTTCATAGGTGTTAAGAAGAAATATGTGAGCTATTTCTTCTCTTAGGCAAATGCCCCAATATGTATCCTTTAATAGTTTACCAGCAAATGTGGAAATTCTCCCAGGTCCAATTTAGATCTGGCAGAGAAGATGAATATTACTAGTCAGTCAGCAACTGCCTGTAACAGATGTTTTTGTTGAATGTTAACATTAACAGTTCTATTTGGCCTTTTCAGAATCGGAATTAAGAAATAAGAGAAATAGCTAAAGGTACATTGAGACCCAGATGGGCAAAAAAAATCCTTTGACTGGAGCTACAAAATATAACATCTAATGAAAGCTTTGGCACGCAGGAACTGTGTGAGCCTGTGGAAATCACTGTGCCTTGATTGTTTGATCTGAAAGAGGGAGGAAAGAGGGAGGAAAAGAAAGTAAGGATCTAGCAGGGTTTGTGCATGACACCGGCTCTGACAAACAACCATATGAGTAAGAATTTTGTGTAAATGTAAGTGATATGTGCTCTCTTACAGGGACAACACAGAACCAGCCAGGCAAATGAGTATTTCCAACGATTTAAAGTCGGAGATTAACTTGGTTTAGTTGACTCAGCAAAGAAAATCAGACTTAAATCTCTCCTTCTCTTCTGAATTACAACGTCCATTTCTCTAGTCAGCCAGGTACGGCTCCTTAAAGAGAATTTCCTCCTCCGGAAAGTGGTGTCTGAGTAGTCATATCTGTGTCTAGAAAGTGGCGTCTTCAGACACTGCAGACATTGGCTCATTGCAAGAGAATTATATATAGTGCAGCTCACCTTGGGCACACCCCAGTGTCACAATCTTACCTGCTAAGGTGCTAGAGGTAGGACCCAGGCCTTCACCAATGTGGCACTGCCACTCATGCTACTACCTGCCACCTACACATGCTGCTGCCACAGTGAGAAATCAATCAGACTTGGTTAGGATCAGTGCCGTATAAATTGGTTCTTTACAACCTTTAACATGGAGTCTCTAAGAAGAAGCTTTTTAAAATGGCACAGGAGCAGTAATTTATGGGTGCTACACTGCAAGATAGTTTAAAGAGCTGGCTGACATTCTTAGTCATTGATCTTATGGACCATTTTGATAGTCAATGACCAAGTTCAACCTAGGTGTTGAACTTATGAACAATGCTACCCATTGTATTCAAATCAAGGGTGCACTTCATAAGAACTTGTAAATAAAATCAGCTCATCTTCGCATGTTGACAACACCAATTACTGAGAAACATTTACTGTGTGACTATTTACCATCAATAGCATTTGTTTTTATTGAAACATGTTCTTTAAACTTTCCTTTTTTTAAAAGTTAACACAATATAAACTTTGAAAAAATAGAATAACTAAGGGATATGGTATTTCATGTTAAGTTCTCATTTAGAATTCAGGTTCAGATGCTTAGAAACCAATATAGTTTGGAGCCATTTCCTATGGACACTGACTCACTATTTGGAATTCACCTGTTAGGTACAGAGATAATGATCAGCATGATGTGAACAATAATGGAGTGTGTAGACGAGGTTGTTTTAGTAGCTCATAGGCTCTATGAATTCTTACTTTTGGAGGCCCCTACCTTTTATTACACATATTAAAAATGCACTCACTGAGTGGAGGTGCCCTCAAGTAGTTGACCTAATGTCACAATTTAGAGACATTTAATTAAATACTTGTTAATTTCAATGTTCATGTCTTCCTTGCATATTGTAGAGCTAATAAAATAATTTTTATGTTTCAAACACTTTTGTGGATGTTGAATCAAACACTCGCTACTTTTAATATTGCAATTTTCTTTTCTTATTTTGAAGTTAATGTTTTTGTGTGTGTGTGGTAATGTTTCAGTTTTATAGGCCCATGAAATGTTCATGGGCTTATGGCATGGTGCCTTTGGGCTTAATGTATAAAATGGCCCTGGATGTAGGAAAAGATCTTGGCCTTAAACAATGTCTGAAGCTTTAGCTATGTAGAATTTCAGAAAAATTGCACTGGGATGTAAATGCTTATGGCATTCCACTTTCTGATTATCAAGCCAAATGGAATACTTCATAACTTTTTCACCCAGACTTTGCTTTCTCCATCACCTTGTTATAGTCTCTATCATGTCAGACATAAACCATTACAAAAGACATTTTTCTCCCTGCCTGGACATCTTCCCTTCTTCAACAGACAGCCAACAGATTATTAGGCTTACTAAAATGACAGTCAACCAGGTATAATTACGTATAATTTAATTAACCAACTCATTAGTCAATTGAATTGAATGGCTTGGCTGTTTTGTAGTAATTTACTATATATTTTTGCTACTTAAATGTAAATGTTTGGCTTTATCTAAAGTGTCTTCTAACTTTCCAACAAATATTTTCTATTTTTCTTTGACTGTGTTTAACACTTTTTCACCCTGCCATAATGGCCCCCCTGTTTTAGAAAAGGCAAATAATTAAACACATATGGCTGAAATGCCACTGGTTCTTTGACAGAGGTAAGTACAGGCTACAGTGAAAAGCACAAAGGAAGAGTCATCAATTCTTCCGGATTTGTAGGATAGAGGGGAGGGGAGGATGGTTTAGGAAAAGCTCACTTCTGGAAAATATATAATGATCTAGCTGGTATACATTTGGACAAGGGCATTCCAGATGGAAGTGGTAATATGAGCAAAGGCATCAAGGCTATTTAGATCTTGCAAATATTACTGAATTGATGACTTTGTACTTATTAAAGCAACGGTAAAATTATAATAAATTATGTTTTTGATTAAAAATAAATTATTTAGATTCCAAAGAGTGTTGGGTTTTAATATACTCACTTTTCAACTTTTTAATATATTTTCAACTACTTTAATGATTTGGAAAACAACCATTAAAAAAATACATTAAGAATATGTACCTATGGGCATACATTGTTACTTTTGTCTCAGGCTCCAATATGGCTTAGCATAGCACTGTCAGATCCTATTTTTATTTAAAATTCTGACATTTTGCTCCTCATAGATTTTTTTGAATTAATTTTGATTTTTTAAAAAAATATTTCATTAAAACATTAGTTATGTTGGTTACTCAGTTTTCTGGCAGTCCCTTAAATTTTGCACCCAAGGCAAGTATGTCTCTTGCCTTACCCTCATTACAGTATTACAGTGTCAGCACTGTAGCGGTGGCTGAAGATTTACATGGTTAAAACTAGAGAAATGACGGCAAATTCTATATCTGTTGTACTAGTTTAGGCGGAAAATGATGGAAGCTTGAACCAAGGCAACAAAGGAGATGGAAAGAAGGCTCAAGTAGGAGAGGTGTCAGGGATGGGGAATAGTGAGAACTGGATACAAATTGGATGTATGGGAATGTTCTCTATCCTGAGATTCACTCTCCAAATTTTGCCCCTCCTCCAGGAATCCTTCTTAGACCATTTTACATCCCTCTCCACGGCAATTTCTCCCTTCTCCGTGCTTTATCTCTTCAACTAGATTATAATTTCTTTGCTGCCAAAGCCCACATCTCATATTTCTTTGCTTCTCTCACTGTGTTACAAGCACAGTAGATGCTCATTAAATACCTGTTGAAAGAACTAGAATCATCAATGCTTTTTAACATTTCTTCAAGGCAGTGTGCATAATAATCAGGCCAACAAAAGAAGAGTTTGGATCTTCTTCCTTGGATATGTTTTTTAAGGTTAGGATACTCATTTATCTATCCAAGATGGCATAAACGACTTCTTAGGGCCTTTTTCAATGACATGATTAACAGCCCTTTTCTGAGAAGAGTTTTTTATATGTTACCGCTAATAGCAAGAGAACTTCTCCTGGGGCCATTTTCCCTTTTATGTGATTACACTGATATTTTAGAGAAAATGAAATTACTGCATCCCAGCTGGGCAGTTCTTTTGAACTTATAAAATGCAGAGATTGCTGTAAGGATTGTAAAGTCAAGTCAGGTCTCTTATCCAATCATCAATAGATAATTTTGGTTTTTATAACCCTTCTTATAAAATTTCTGCTGTGGTTATCAAAGTCCAAAATTTGACATTAGTGTTGCCCTTGACAACTGAATCCAGAGAGTTTCTCTGGAAATTATTCCAGTTATAGTAAAAAGATAATTAATGGTCATAGAAAAAGTCTGAATTTAATGTGTCTGAGTATGGCTTTATCAGATTTTCACTTGTGGTGATATCTTGATACATTTTACCAGACATTACTATTGTTATTATTTATTATTGTTACTATTATTTTGGACGAGGAGCTTTTAGCAAAGCTCCTTAAAAAGAGACTAGATCAACTCTAACTCTGCAGATACCCTTCATGTTCTGCATTTCCCCTTCTAGATAATCTATATCATCCTGAAGGTAGAGTGTCCACCCGGTGCAGTGGTGAAGCTCTACCCCAGCTCTGGATTATCAACATCTAGGCTGCTCATTTTGTGGAGAAAACAAAACTGTTACTGTGGCTAAGCTACTAATTTTCAATTTTCTATGATTCAGAGCTGAATATGATATCAATCTGATAAAATTGGGTATCTAAAAGTGGGATGCTTTCAGCAAGCCTAAAATGGGGAATTGACTTTGTGGGAGACATGGGGCTCTGGACAATAAGAACTCAGTTGGAAAGCTGGTGTTCTTTGCTATGCAGTGGCAGAACATTTGATCAAATCATCACCTGCTTTACTGGTAATGCAGGCAATGGGATAACTGAAACCACAGGATCAGGAGAAATGGTAGCAAAGATTTTTATATATTGGCATGTGCTAGCTCCACCACTTTCGGCAAAATTCAACTACAGAGATGACACCAGACTAGAACTACTTAGGCTGCAAGCAGAGGAGGAAAGAAATGCCTTTTGTTCTGAGAAAATATTTTGCTGCCTTAGGTCTACAAGTTATGGTGAAAAGAGTCCTGAAGGCAATTGCTTCTCTTCTTTAAATCTGAAGCAATTATAAATAGTGATTGACAAATAGTAGCCTAAATTGTGGTGCTCCATTGAAAGGAGGCTCAAAGCCTCATGGTAGTTATGGGATCTGGGATGTGGCCCCCCACTTCCCCCCGGGAGCCTGCTGTCTCTAACTGCTGCAGGACAGCAGCCCCTGAGTCCAGAGCAAGGGAGAGGGGCAGAATATGGAGACCTGTGAGTTATAGAGGAGATTCCTCAGACTTGAAATCTACATCTAGTTAAGACCGTTGGCTGTTATTTCTTAAACTTAAACTTTATATGAAGCAAATAGAGCAAAACTGTACTAAGCTTAAAGGGAACTGTATTTCCTAAGTACTTCCCTCCCCCTAAGACTGGCCCCAGACTGCCTCTAGTTGGTAAATCCGTACAACAGTCCCTGGTCCCTAAAATACACAAAGCAAGTTGGCTTTGAGAGCTGTGCAGGCTTAGGAAGGGCATCTTGACCAAGCCACAGATGAGGCAGGCAGGGATCCTGGTTGATCCTTCCAGAAAGAATAACGAAGTTTAGCCAGATTGGCCAACCAACGAACTTATTCCATGGCGAGACAGGGAGTCTTTGCTACTCCTGCCAAGTAGAATAGCTTAATTGCTATCAATCACTGATGGCTGTGTGTTTCCTATCCTCTCCTTTCCAAATAGGAGTTTACTGTGGTAGTCAGTTCCTTCTCCGCTATTGCTACATTTAGGGCAATTGTCCTTTGGTTTATCAGCCAACAGACCTATAACGAAACAAACAGACCAACAGCTTTCTATCTTTATCTGATGGAAAAACTGCATATCACTCACAGTGCTTATATTTTGAGCTGGATGCAAGAAATGCAAGAGACTTTGAGGTTATCTCACTTAAGATGTTCTTTGTCTAGAAAGAAACTGGGGGGCTGATAAATGTTTAACAACCACCTGAGATAGGGTTGCACATATTTATATACATATATACATTTACTATAAATTTTACTGATATAAAGGATGCGTGGCACATAATTTACAAACAATAATAATAATAATATATACAATATTCTTTATTGTAAATTTCTTATAGCCAATTGATTCTTACAGAATGCTTTATTTGACAAAGCGGTTGTAAACAAGTGTAGTTTCCATATGAATGTTGCTCGATGTGTTTGTTTTTGTTTTTACGAGTAAAATGAAAGTGAAGCAATGAAGATGTATGTCAAAATCCCATTTGTTCATCTATGATGGAAGCAACTCTTTTCAGATCATAGTTTTCAAATACTGGAAAAATATTTCCTCGAATTGTTTGTGCTATTTCCATTGTAGGAGTAGCTGTCGCAATATACTTTTAAGTTTAATTTGCATTAGTAACAGTTTCTTCATCATTCTTATGACTAGACAATCAACAAAACAACAAATCAAACCCTGATTTATAGTATTTGCCGATTCCTGTGGTGTAAATCCTCCCCCTGTGGCTGATTTCAAGATACCAACATGATGTCACTGAGGGCAGAATGGGACCAGATGCATTTTATCACACCACTTTAAAGTATTTTCACCACATAGATATGATAGATGCAAACTTCAAGAGCATAGATAACAGTGGAATGTAGTAAAATAATTAGGAAGTGATGGATTTTGAGTATATATTACTTTTATTTTTAATATAATTCATTTATTATAAATATACATTTACATAATTTAATTCTTAATAATGATTATCTCTAACAATGAACTCACAAAATTCCTGAAATTTTAACAATTGGTTTTTGTGAGCTGGTACAAGCCTTATTTCCACATTATAGGAAATAAAGGTATA